CACTATCCAAGTTCATTTACCTAAAAAATTGAGAATCTTTATGGAACAACTACTCTTACCGCAAAGAACAACATTCTGTTATGTGTTGTCAGGAAAAAAGGCAAGAAAGAAATAAGGTATGGAGAAAATACATATACAAATTATACAAGGGTAATAGAAAAGGTGCTATAAATGAAAATAAAAGTAAAGGACCGTGGGGTCAGTTTCTAACCCAGGAACGGACAAAATCTTCATAATGAGGGTGACAATTTACATTTTAAACTCATGAAATTATCTGAAATCAATTTCTTATGAACACACACTCACCTGGGACTTCAGTTTCTCCCGTTCAGCAGCATCCTTTAGTTGCTGAATTCCAAATTTAATTTTTTGGATTTCTTGATTAATTGTGGTTACTCGCTCATAGACAGCATCTCTTTTTTCTTGAACTTTATTGCAATCCCTAAAGGAAAATAGAGACAGCTAATATATAATCCTCAAGCATCCAAAAAGGCAAACACTTAATTCTAATTTTGATTCCAAAGTGATCCTGTGTCAGTATTTGTTTAACACAATCTAAAACTCTTCTCAAGATATAAAAGCAAACAAATAAAAACCCCAAAGCATGGTGCTATAATCACATCATGGCATACAGTGAGCTTTTTTGCCCAAAAGCTATTCTAAAAACTGAGAGATTTTAAGTTACATTTCCCTAGTTGTGCACACTTAGGTACTGTTGGTGGGAATATGAATTAATACAACTTTTCTGCAAGGCAGTTTGACAACAAATACGAAATTCTCAGGCTCTGCCCTTTTTCTGCATCTGCTTAAGGAAGTGCAAAGGAAATAGCTGATTGATCTCTAAGGCATCTTTTAGGGACTGAAAGAATGACATCACAAACATACCTGGGTCAGGATTCTAAAAACACATTCTTAGAACTGATGGGGAGAAGACTTACCCGTGAAATACTCCAACATACTGGTAAAAAACATGTTTAGCAAAGTATTAATTCTTACCTGAATAAAAAATAAAGACTTTTGGCCAGGC